TTTCTCCTGTGGAGTGGCTGGTGGGTTTGAATTGTAGGCCTTGTGGTTAGCAGTCCAGTGCTTATCCTACAGCACCATCTTGCCTGATCAAACCACTTCCCACCCCCAGAAGAAACCTGCTCTTCCAAGCACCCACTTGGTCAGCACTGTGCCTCCGTCCCTCCCCAGTTTCATTCTCAGGCACTTTCCTGGTCACTTTCTAAGGCCCACCTCCATGGACTTCTTCAAGAACTTTTCCCAAGTGCTTCTAGACAAAGTTAGTCACTCCTTTCCTCGGGTGCCACAGTGCTTTCTATTCAACTTTGTTACTTATTCCTTTAGCAATTAGTAGAGTACCCTGCACCTAACACATGTGCAACAGATGTTATGGTGTGAATAAGACATAGGCATCCAAAACTTTGAGAGAGTGAGACAGTGAGACATCCCTCTTTCTTAAACCCATACAGATGAAGTTTTTGGAAAATGCAATAAAATTAAGTGACGAATTATTTTTGTGGAACGATCACAACAATCTGCTTCCAAATTTTTCTTTACCTTTAACCCAAACTCAGTGCTCCTTACATATTAACTCCCCCCGCCCTCACCTGCCCTCTTAACCACGAAACATTTTGGTTTCAGATATTCATGTAAGTAGGATCTTACAACATTCGTCCACTTGTGTTTGACTTATTTCATTCAGCATGTTTTTGAAGTTCATTGTGATAATTATGGTTTTGTGTCAATATGGCTGAGCCAGGATTCTCAGTGGGTTAGCAGTTAAGATTTAGTAATCACTTCCAGGATGAGATCTGTTAGGATGTAATCCCTCTCCATGATCTGGCCAGCCCAGAGGGAACTGTCTGTGTGTTGTAAACCCTCAGTGCTGATGTAGGCTCAACGCAATCCACAGGACTAGGGTGATTTTGAGTCAATCTCTTTGGAGACCTGAAAGAGATTATAAAAGCAAGCAGAGCTTGGAGGGACATACTATCACCAAGAAAGAGCCAGGAGTGGGTGCGTTGTTGGATCTGGGGTTTCTGCACTGTGAAGCCGGGAAGATTGATAGCAAGACAAATGGAGATCGCCAAGGAAAACTGGGCCTGCAGATGCTGAAAAGAGATATGATCTGGCTGCAGAATCAGTCTCACCCATTTCTGTTTGTTACGGTAATCTACTTGTGGCATTTCTGTTACAGAAGCACTAGAAAACTAAGTCAAGTATCACAACTTCATTTCTTTTTCTGGCTGAATAATACTCTGCTGTGTAAATATATCTACTACATTTTGCTTATTCATTCATCTGTTAATGGATCCTTGGGTTGTTTTTTACCTCTTAACTATAAATAAATACTACAATGATTACTGGAGTCCTGGTGTGACGCCATGGGTTAATGCATGGGTTAATGGATTGCAAAGTCAGTTTGAACCGCAAGGTCAGTGGGTTCAAGCTCACCAGCTGCTCCCCTGAAAACCTATACAGGATCACTAGGGGTTGGAACCAACTCAACAGCACTTAACAATAACAACAATGAATATTAGTGCACAGATATTTGCTTGAGTCCTGCTTTTGTGTCTTTTAGGCATATACATGGGAATGAAATTGCTGGGTCATAAAGTAATTCTATGTTTAGCTTTTTGAGGAACTGCTTTCCATAGTAGCTCATCATTTTACAACCCCACCAGCAATGGATGAAGGTTCCAATTTCTCCACATTCTCATTAATATTTGTTATTTTCTGATAATAGCCTTTCTACTGGGTGTGACTGGGAGAAAGATGAGACATTCTGCTCCCGTAATGATTTACAGCCTTGGAGACCCTCTGTAGCAGCTCTCTTCTACCCTGTGGAGTCACTGAGTTGGAATCAACTCAACAGCAGCGGATTTCAGTGAGACAGCAGTGGATTTCAGTGAGACAGCAGTGGCTCTGATTTGCATTTCCAATTATGACAAATGTCACTGTTCATCTTTTCATATATTTACTATTCTGTTAAGAGATATTCGTCTGTAGTTTGTTTGCTTTTTTTCTTGTGGCATCTCTGTCTGGTTTTGGTAATGTTGACCTCATAGTGTTCTCTCCCTTTTATTTTTGGAAGAGTTTTAGATTGAGCAGTGTCGATTTTTAAAATGCTAGTTAGAATTCCCCAGTGAAGTTACCTAGCCCCAGGAACTTTGTTTTTTGTGGGAACATTTTGATGACCGTTTATTTGTTATGGGTCTGTTGAATTTTTTTCTTCTTTAGTCAATTTAGATTCTTTATATTTCTAAGGCAGTCCTGGTGTGGTGCTGTAGGATAAGCACTGGACTGCTAACCACAAGGTTGATAGTTCAAACCGACCAGCCACTACTTGGAAACAAAGCCCATAGGGGTTGCTATGAGTTGGAAGAATGAAGTTCTTGACAACTTCAATCTTTTCTCCGTTGATAAGAATGTTGTTTATTGGTCCACTGGTGGGGATTTTTTTCTTTATGTTGAGGGGCAACTCATACCGAAGGCTATGCTGATCTCCGTCAGTAAATGTTTTAAGTCCTCTTCACTTTCAGCAAGCAAGGTTGTATCATCTGCATATCACAGGTTGTTAATGAGTCTTCCTCCAATCCTGATGCCACGTTTTTCTTCATAGAACCCAGCTTCTCGGATTATTTGCTCAGCATACAGGTTGAATACAACCTTGTCACACATCATTCTTAATTTTAAACCATTCATTGTTCCCATGTTCTGTTTGAACAACTGCCTCTTGGTCCTGATACAGATTCCACATGAGCACAATTAAGTGTTCCGAAACTATTACTGCAGAATTATTAATTCCCCCCTCTTTTTGGTCAGTTATTTGCTTCACATATTATGAGGTTCTAATGCTGATGTGGCGCTGTGGGCTAATGCATCAGACTGCAAAGTCGTTTGAACTGCAAGGTCGGTGTGGTTCAAGTTCACCAGCTACCCCTTGGAAACCCTATACAGGGTTGCTATGGGTAAGGACTCAACTCGATGGCACCTAACAACAAACAACAATGCTAGGAGCATATGTATTTATAATTGTGTATCTTCTTGATAACGATAGCATTATAATTATACAATATCCTCTCTGTCTCTTCTAATCCTATACTCACTACAATCCTATACTTACTTTTCAAGGTTCTTACACAGTTGAAATTTTTAGTTGCTTTTCTTGGTATCTGTGTGGGAAGGTCAGATGTTGCTGTTACATGCCATCAAGTTGGTTCTAACTCATCGTGACCCTAAGTACAATAGTACAAACCTGCCCACTCCTGAGCCATCTTGACAATCTCTACTATGTTTGAGCCCACTGTTGCAGCAATGTTGTTGAAGGTCTCCTTTTTCACTGATCCGCTACTTCACCTACTAAGTATGATGTCCTCTTCTCCAGGGATTGGTCCCTCCCGATAATATGTCCAAAGTAAGTGACACGAAATCATGGCATCTGCATTTCTAAGGAGCATTTTGGCTGCACTTTTTCTCAGACATGAAGCCCTTTACTCTGTTTTCTCAAGTCGCACTTTGAAAGCTTCTGTTCAGTTTTTTTATTTCATAATATTTCGTCCATTCGCTTTCCGTAAAGTTCAAGGGCAAGTCTCAGAGTCCATTTTGGTCTTTTCTTTCTTTCCTGTCTTTTTCATAACCTTTTACTTTCTTCACATGTGATGTCCTTGATGTCATCCCACAAGTTGTCTGGTCTTTAGTCAGTGTACAATTAAATGTCTTCCTGAGATAGTCTCCAAAGGCCGTATGTTGTCTCTTGTGGACTTGTTTTAATTTTCTTCATCTTCAACTTGAACTGCGCATGAGCAGTTGATGGCCTGCTCCACAGTGGGCCACTAGATACTTGACATGCTCGTGTCACATCTTCCTTTAAGTCACCAGGTGAGTTTCTAAAAACATGAGGTCGCTATTGAGGAATACATATTTGAATTCTGAACAAATCTTATTAATGGGCAATTTCAACTATCCTAAAGATTTTATCTACAACTCCTTTTTTTAACTGAATTTCAAGAGACTCTCCATTTTGTACATGTATGTTCATTCCCACCTTTACTTTCATACGGTTACTGACTCTCTCTGCTTTATCCATTCCAGGATTAAAGCGTCAATGAATTTAAACCTAAATAAGCCTAACCTTCAGTTAGCTTCCTTTTCTCCCTGTGCTTTCGTTTAGAAAGAATGAAACGGAAAAAAAAAAAAAACCAAAAATTTTTTTTTTTAAATTACTAGAACAAAGTAAGCACGGGAACTTTAAAAAGTTTGAGTGAAAGGGAATTAAAAGATAATGGAAATTTCCCCCAAGATTTTAGAACCCTCCTTATATAATCTTTTACATCTTTAGAATTTATAACATTATACAACTGACTTTCCCAATTATTTGAAAACATAATTTTTCAATGAAGCTGGCATAAAAAAAAAAAGTATACTATAATATTTTGCATTCCACTATAGCTTTTATAGTGTGAAATTAAAAGGCATAGTGGGTTACACATTGGGTTGCTAACTACAAGGACAGAAGTTCAAATCTACCAGTTACTCTACAGGAAAAAGATGAGACATTTCTGCCCCCATAAAGATTTACAGCCTTGGAAACTTTACAGGATTGTTATGCATTAGAACCAATTTGATAGCACATAACAATACATAAGAACTTTAAACCTTTATAGCACAGTTAAAAGAGTATAAAATTAAAGTCATATACTTCATGTTTTTCAGAAAAGACAATTTTGGTGAGTCTATACATAAAAAGTCCCTTTTTAAAAACTGTTGTCATAAAAATACTTAATTATGCCCTATTCTCAAGAACAGCATATACTAAATGTTTTATTATGTAGGGAGAACACTACAACTAAGCTCAGCCCTTTCTGAAAAGGCACGTGGAGCCCTTGATTATTAGATTAGAAATTATTTTTAGAATCACTTAGTCTTGATGTCCATTATCCTATGAGTAAATACAGCAGCTAGTCTTCTAGAGTCCAGGCAAAGACAGCTTCTTACAAATAAGTTAAAAGGCAGATCTATACCTTTATCAGAGTACGTGTGTTCTAAAGCATGGAGATCAGGCAACAGGTGAATACAGTTTATGCAGCAGTAGGTGAAGAAATCAAGGACGACCACCTTTCCACATAGATCCTTGTAGACAGAAATAGGTCCTTCTGTGTTTAACCATTCTAATCCTGAAATTGACACAAAGCAGATTATAATGATTAAGGGAAAAGACAATGAGAAAGAAAATGTATCCAAAACTTCCCATAAATATACTTTTCCTAAGGCTAATAGAAGTCCAAGACCTTAAAATGATACCACTATTTACAGACCGTGGTAAGTGAATATATTAATTATTTACATTAATTTATTATTAATAAATTATCAGCTCAAACAGTCAAAAGGAATGATGTCTCTTCATGATTGACAAAACAAGTATCCATAAAGACAAAGAAAATGACCAAGACAACAAATCTGTAAAGATGGAAGTGGCAGAGACAGAAGATGAAAGAAAAGGAGGGAGTGGGGGAAGAAGGAAGGGGCAAGCTGCTATTTATTATGAGGCAGGCCATGTAACAAGAAAAACTTACTAAAACAAGTAAAATTAGTTCAGAATTAGTGTTAATAGTCTGTGTGTGAAAAAGGAAAAACCAACACATGTAGGCAAAAAACAAATGGAAATATCCAACATGAAGAGGACCTAGTTCATACGTAATTAGGTATAAATGAGCTTTGACAGTGAGGTGAAATTTAAGAACTGTTGTTAGTTGCTAGTGAGTTGATTACAATGGAAGGTCACCGGTGTGCAGACCAGAACTGCACCATGGAGTCCTGTGTGGCACTGTGGGTTAATATGCTGGATGGACTGACTGTAAGGTCATTGGAGCAGCAAGGCCAGCGGTTCAAGTTCACCAGCCACTCCTCAGAAATCCTACACTTTCATCATGAAAACGTTATCGTAAAAAAACTAAATTATGCCCTATCTCTGAATTGGAACTGACTCAACAACACTTAATGACAACAATATGGTTTTCAAGCCCGTGACCTTTCAGAAACTGATCACCAGACTTGTCTTCCACCATGCCTCTGTTGTTGTTAAGTGCTTCTGAGTCGGTTCTGACCCATTGAGACCCCGTATAGGGTTTCTGAAGGAGCTCTGGTAGCGTAGTGGTTACAAGTCGGCTAAGCTCAAGGTCAGCAGTTCAAAACTACCAGCTTTCTGTGGGAGAAAGATGAGGCTTTCTGCTCCCGTAAAGATTTACAGCCTTGGAAACCCTGTACAGGGTCGCTATGAGTCAGAACTGACACCTCGGCACACGTCCTCCCCCCTCCCCCACCACCACATAGGGTTTCTGAGGCTGTAAACTTTTATGGGTGCAGAAAGCCTCATCTTTCTTAGATTTGAACTACTGACCTTGTGGTTAGCTGTCCAGCTCATAATCCACTATGCTACCAGGTGGGTTTAAACAGCTAGCCTTTCATTTAACGTTTCTTTGATGAGATAAGCATTCATGCACCCATTTTTTTTTTTTCTCTAAAAATCCCATAATATTTCAGAGCCAGTGTAGGAGTTTGCAACTGAGAAAATCAGCACTTCTCACTAGACTGCTAACCACAAGGTCGGCAGTTCAAATCCAGCAGACGTTGCTCAGAAACCCTATATAGGATCGCTATGAGTGGAACCAACAAGAAGAAAAGGTGAGGTTCCAATGGACCTCCCATGAGATAATTAATTGATCCCTGCCACAGCCAACCAATTAACTATACATGAGGTTTTAGTGTCGTGCCAGGAGACATGCCAACAGCAACAGGCAAAACAATACCAGCGCCAACCATCGAAGGTAAAGTCCAGCTTCGTGTACCACAGCAAACTGGTCTTCACTAAGAGCGTCGCTGTTACAAAGGCTCGCAGAGCCGGAATTCGGCAAACTGACTCAGATTTAAAAATAAAAAATGTCTTACAACTGTGAAAGAAACGTATCAAGGCTAAGAAACTGCGGAATCTGGGGTCAGTATAACTCAATTGTAGCACTTAACAGCGGTGATCACGGCCTTGCCTCAGTTTCCTCAATTGTAAAACAAAACTCCTGAAAGCAACTCAGTGGATTGAGCAATAAATGATCCACCGGAAGCGTTCAGATCTGTGTCGGGCACGCAGAAAGTGATCGATGGAGGTTAGCTAGTACGACGGGAAGCGGACTGACAGGATGGGGTGTCACGGGCATGTCAGATAATGTCATCACGGCCAGCCAGCATTCACGGAGAGTTCACTAGGTTAATATCAGGCTCCGGACTGACGGCTCCAGGACCACCCCCACCCCCATCCCCCACCGACTGCAGCAGCTCCGAGACACCCGCATGGGGCGCAGCGCCCAACAACGTCGCCAGCTACACCACCCCGCCTCGCCCACCGCTTCAGGGGAGGGCGCCGTCCACGAGGAAGGGGAGGTGCCGGGGAGGGTTCCCCACCCTGGAACCAGCCCCTCACCTTCCGGAAACTCAGGCACTGACAGATCCTGCTTCCAGCTGTCCACCTTCTGCAGATACTGGTGGACCAGGCTGTCCTTCTCCTGCTGGGTGACAGCATCGAGCAGGGCGTACTCCAGCGAGGTCTGCGCCGGGAGCAGGCCCGAGAGGCTGCAGCTCCGGGCTCCGGGGGCCGCCATGTTCCGTCCCGTCAGTCCGGAGGCGGCGGCCGGGCCCGCGGAGAGTTTGGCAGAGAGGAAGCGTTTCCTGTCCTTTGGTTTCAAAACGACACATTCACTTCACTCTCTTCCAGCCCCACTCCACGCTATCGACACTTAAACAAACAAGAAACAAACAAAAAACATCCTGTATTCAATTGCCAAAGTCCAAATCGTCGCCAATTCTGTGCATGTAATTAACCTAAGGTCCCAATCCACCCCGCCCCTTCTGAGTCCTCCAGCCTCCGCTCAGCCTGGACATTCAGAATACCAGATTCAACATGAAAAGACCTCTGGAATAGCGTTTTAAAAGTGCTTAAGAAGCCATTTCATTGGGAAATTACGGGCCTTAGAACATAAATAAAATAAAGTAAACCCACAGAACTTTAAATGGTATAGATATTTTTAAAATTAGTTTTAAATTCCCGCCCTTAGACAAGGATCAGCCGATTCGACACAACCCTGCCAGTAGAAAGCTCTTCCCGCCAAGACATGAAAGGTAAGGAGGGTAGAGATATAGTCAAAAAGGAACGTTTTATAAGTTGGAAGTGACTAGCCAATTGCTCTAGCTTTTTACAATGGTTTATTGGCTGGGTTGTACTGAAAATGCGGGCGCGAATAGATTGTCGGCCGGACAGGGTGAGGGGGGCGCGGAGGGGAGCGGGCACAGCTGGAGCGTGGATCCGCTTCCCCTGGCGCAGGTGGCTGGTGGGTTGCGGCGAGGGCTCCAGAGGGCTGCGGTGAGGGCTCCCGAGGGTCGCGCCTCTGAGGCTGTAGAAGAAGAGGCTATAGAAGAAGAGGCTGTGGTTACGGAGTTGAGTCGGTTAAGACCCCACTCACTGATCTTGCAGCTTTCACCATCCAGAGAGAAGGTAGAACTGGCGGGAAGGTGAACCTCGATGTTGAGGCTTTCTAAGAGGGTTGACCGTATGCAGGGTGGACTCCCACTATGGCCACAGTGCAAGCACGACTTCACATATTTGAAATTTCTCCCTTGTGCAGTTTGTTGTTTGCTGATGGACGAAGATGTTGGACAGACCCAAGAAATCAAACTGTTTGAAGAGTCGTGTTGAAAAGGGCAGGTCCATTTTTTGCTGACCACACACCTCTACTCTTTACCCTTCTCTGTGTGACTAATATTACTAGCAAGCTAAAGTCACTTTTAGTGTCTGAAACTCTTGCTAAGCCATTTTTCAGTTGAGGATCGACAGTCCTTCATAACCAAATTCACAAAGCTTGCCTTTGGCTTTGGTGAGCCTACACTTTCCATCATTGCTTAATTTTTAAAGTATTACGGATTCTGATTTCAATGAATCAAGTCACAAAATGAAACACTTCACAGATGCTACCCCAGTGGTCAGCTCTCTTAATTTTACTATGGGTTTAAATAAAATACAGCCCGTTTTTGAGTTAGTCAATATACTCATTACCATAACTATCCACTCTCACTGAGTTAGTATGTTTTCCTTCATTTTTGTTTTTTACTCAGAAAAATAATTCCATGTAATAATTTTGCAACAGGAAAGGGACTCAGGAAATTCCATGTAACAATTTTGTAACAGGAAATAGACTCCCAATTAAGATTTGTGTTTCTTTAATGATACCATCATTTTGCCATGTTAGAAGATGGTTTTTTGGAAGATGATATCTGGGAATACAGATCCAAAAGGAAACCAAAACCAGTGCATCCAAATAATGACTTGGAAAAAAGCCCAAAATCTGTTGAAAAGACAACAGATGGGAAATACAAGTCAAAACGAAGCAGGAATAAAAAAGGACGGAAAAGAACTGTGGAAGCTAAGGAGAATGCAAAGAACAATGAGGTGTTCCCTGGGGGAACACATAGTAAGACGTCTATGGCTTCAGATCAGGACTCAAGTTGTGGAGAGAGTATTCAGCTGTCCCAAGAAAAGACCACCACTCCGGTAAAGACCTGTAGAACTCATAAAAACAAACAGGTATCCTCAAAGATACGTCCGGTTTATGATGGATACTGTCCCAATTGTCAGATGCCTTTTTCTGCATTGCTTGGTCAAACACCTCGATGGCACGTTTTTGAATGTTTGGATTCTCCTCAGATCTCTGAAACAGGTAAAAACACAGAAGGTTAGCTCTGACTTATAGAGACTCCATGTTCTCCTGCATGTCTATCAGTCCTAGCAACTCAGTGAAACCAAATAAGTAATAGACAAAAGAGATGAGACACTTGTAAGTATAGAGATGCCCATAAGTATAAATGACTTAACTCTGCAAGCAACCAAGGTCATGACATCTTACCCTTCTGGAGCGTAAAAAACTAATAGTCAGTGGTATCATTGTAAAGAAAATTTTAGATTTGGAACCAGTTTAAATGTATTCCCATATTTCCTGTTGTTGGTACTTGCTAAGTGCTGTTGAGTAGGTTCTGATTCATGGTGACCCTGTAAAGGGTTTCCAAGGAGCAGCTGGTGGGTTTGAACTGCTGACCTTGTGGTTCAAAGTCTAGTGCTGATCCTACAGTGCTGCAAAATCTCTAAATATTTAGTATTTTTTGTAAATGTTAATTGAGCACCTACTACACTAGGTACTTTCATTCTGTTTACTTGGTTCTCACTACAACTTTGTAAGGCAGGTGGTTTTGACATTTTATAGATGAGAGTTCTTGAAATTTAAGTAAGTTACTCAATTTGCCTTGTTTTTATGCAACTATATAGAAAAGTAGTTTTCTATATTATAAAATACAATTTTTCTATATAGTTTTTTTGAAACTATATAGAAAAAACTAAAAGCAATGGACTATGAACCGCAAGGTCCATGGTTCGAGTCCGCCTGCTGTTCTGCTGGAGAAAGATGAGGCATTCTACTCCCTCAGAGATTTATAGTCTTGGAAACCCTAAACAGAGTCACTATGAGTCAGGACCAACTCAACAACAACAGCATTGTAAATATGGTCATGTTTCATCATGTTAATGTACAGGAAAGAAGAAAAGGGAATAAGCCTGTAATTAAGATACTGATAAAAATGTACCAATTGGTAGCAAATACTGCTTTTATTATCTTCCAAAATAGATGCTATATTGTACCATATATATCCTATTTAATCTGTAGGAAACCCTACTTGGAATACATGGAGAACGGGTTGTGGTGATGATTTTCCATTTTGAAGTTATATAGACCTTCCTTGGAGATATTGTGGGTTAACCAGCATAGGTCCCTGGGAGGCACATGGTGTGTGCTTGCTACGTAGTGAAAGGCTGGTGGTTTGGACCCATATAGCTGCACCAGTAGAAAGGCTTAAGCATCTGCTTCCCTAAAGATGATAGCCCAGAAAACCCTATGGAGTAGTTCTCCTCTGTACCCCTGTTGGTGGTAGTAGGTGGTGGTGGTTCTGAATCATAGAGACCCTGTCTAGGGTTTCCGAGGCTACAAATCTTTACAGGGAGCAGAAAGCCTCATCTTTCTCCCGCACAGCTGCTGGTGGATTTGAAGTGGTGACCTTATAGTTAACAGTGCAACACATAACCCAGTACAATACCATGGTTCCTTAAGACTTCAGGAAGGCCTGATGATTTTTTACTTTTAGTACGAATGCTGTCAAAGTTTAGTCTATACTCTGATCCTCTAATCCTTTTGTTTTTTTCCTTCATTGAAATATCCAGAGTGTCCTGATGGTCTTCTGTGTACCTCAACAATCCCTTCACATTACAAGAGATATGCTCACCTCCTGCTAGCTCAGAGTAGGGCAGGTACTAATTCTTTTGGCAGCCCACCATGTACGACAGATGGTCATTTGAATTGTTCCAGTGAGACTGAGTCAGGCTTTCTCGGTAACCTTGAGAAATGGTGGTCTCCAAATCCACAGAAACAAACTGAGAACTTAAAAGGTGTTTCAGGGGACCCCTGTTTGATGACCCAAGGTGGAAGAAGATCTCAGTCTGCAACTGACGCTGACCAAAAGGCTTCCTTTCCTACCAAGATTGAGAAGTCCCAGAGAGCTCTGCGATTTTCTGAGTTTGTGAATAACGACAAAGTGGTAGGAGCTGGGTTGCCTCGTGCTGATGAAGAATTAGACAGCTCAGAGCACATCAATTGGCTGCTGCCAGAAAATGACTTTAGCAACTGTGAAATCTCCTATTCTCCACTTCAAAGTGATGAAGAAACATCTGATGTGGTTGAAACGCTGGATGATTCACAACAGGAACTGTTTTTCACTGAAAACTCAAAAGATAGAAACCTAGAGGAAGGTAGCAATAGCTGTATTCACTTTACCAAACTCCCGGGTCCCTCGCTGAAGGGACAGGAAGAGAGCCGCCCCCAAGTGTCTGGCTTCGTAACTCAGCATCAGTATAATGAAGAATTGTATAAATGCCATGCTCTAACTGATTTATCTCAACTGATTTCCCAAAACAATGAGAGTATTCTTTCATGTGATGATCCAGCATATAATAGTGATTCTTTTCTGTTGTCGCCACCTGCACTAGCAGGGGAACTTGATTCTTCTCATTATCTGACCACTAAAGCCAAACCTGATGAGCCAACATTTGGCTCAGCTCAAGCAAATACACTGAAGCACGCAATTGGAAAATCAGCTGTTTACAGTCACGTTCAGCTTCCATTATTTGAAGGTGAAACGTCAAACCCTTTTAAAATTCAGGGAAAAGAGGATCTTTCTTTCCATCCAAACCGAAGTAAAACGATAGAATTATCAAGTGAAAACTTTAATGGTAAGAAAAATGCGAAGTCAGTCCATTTTCGCAGAGAAGTATTAGATGGCAGATTAGACAGCAATGTTTCGGTTTTAAATAGAAAGAATTTACCTAGTACACCTACTGCTGCTACGGTTGCGAAAATAGTGCCATCTGGTCCTAGTGCTGGACATTCTTCTAACAAGGTAATGAAACAAATGGATATAGGGGTGTATTTTGGATTACCACCCAAAAGGAAAGACGAGAAATTGCCGCAGGAAAGTGCATTAAAAGGGACGGACTCCAATCCAGTGGTGAGTCCTAGTAGAAAGAGGTCCCAGCCGTGCAAACGCAAAGCAGAACACTCTTTAAGTGATTTGGAATTTGATGCACAGAGTTTAAACGAGAGTCAGCTCCCTGTGGAAGTTTCTAGTGAGAGGTCACAACACCAAAGAAAGAGGCGTAAAAAGGCAGATTCAGTACAGAGAGGAGCATCTCAGAAGTCCGATCACATTAACAATACCAGATCTGGGACTGCCAACTTAAGTCAAGACAGCCTCTTCATAAAAGCAGCCGACGGCAGGCAGCAGGAAAGAAGTACAGCAATCCCAGAATTATCTAATGCAAGAGGATTAAGACAGAGGAAATGTCCATTCTATAAGAAAATACCTGGTAAGTGGCAATAGCAGTGCTTAATACATTTACAAAAACACGCAACTTTGAGTTTTTGTGGGTTTTTGTTTTTTTTTTTTCGTGCTTGTTGTCCAGGTTGTATATGTGTGAAACATTTGTGTGTGTGTGTTTACTTTTTTTGTCCATGTGATTTTTTTGCTCCTTTCAATTTATCAAATGTATTAAGCGTATTCTACATATAAGGTGTAAGGAGCTCTGGTAGCATAGTCTGGTATGAGTCGGGCTGTGAACCTCAAGATCAGCTAGTTCGAAACTACCAGTGGTTTCCATGGGAGAAACTTGAGGCTTTCTGCTCCTATAAAAATGTACAGCCTCGGAAACCCTGTACAGGGTCGCTATGAGTTGGAACCGACTCCACAGCACACCATCACCATTACTCCCACCACCACATGTAAGGCATGCATTAATTAGGTAGATAGTACAGATCATACCAGGATGAGGAAGACCTTGCTAAGGGTACAGATTAACATGGAAGGAGGAAGCACATCTGTAAGTAACTATGATAAAGGCATTCTCTGAGAACTTGTGAGACCCGCAGAATATGAAGACGCTTCACAGAGGGCAACAGCAGGTTGTCTGTGCCATAACAAATGCCAGGCATTTATAACCCCTTCTTAGAACTTGGTTTCTCAGCTTTTTCAAATGCTTGTCATTTCTCATGCCTTTGTAAATGACTTAATAGAAAAGGTAATCCATGAAATGAATTTTAGTTTTGAAGAAGCCAATAACTCTTCTGAAAACAATTTAAAGTAGGCAAACTATACTTGGGTCCAGAAAGATTTTTTTTTTTTCTAGAAAGATTTTTGAAAGTGCTTTATTAATGTTTTAGATCTGTCGGTTGTTCAAAATATTTGTCTAGAGAATTTTATGTACATCATAGAACCAGTTTTGTTTTTAGTAATTATTTTTATTAACTCTGTACTTTAAGTGAGCCTAAAACTAGTGTTGTTGTTAAGTGCCATTGAGTTCGGTTCTGACTCATAGGAACCCTGTATAGAGTTTCTAAGGCTGTTGGTCTTTGCAGGAGTAGAAAGTTTGTTTCACCTTTCTCTTGCAGAGCACCTGGAGTGCTCAAACCATCAACCTTGTGGTTAGCAATCCAGTACTTATCCTACAGAGCCCCCACGCTCTCAGAACTAGTATACCAAGTGTTAATAAGCCACAAGAGAGTTATGAAAGTATGCTTGGTGTTAGTGGTATGCCGTGGAGTCGGTTCCGACTCATAGCAACTCTTACAGGGTTTCTGAGGCTGTAAATCTTCACGGGAACAGAAAGCCTCATCTTTCTCCCATGGAACAGCTGGTGGTTTCGAACTGCTGATCCTGATGGTTAGCAGCCCGATTCGTAACCACTATACTACCACAGCACCTTATGAAAGTATGCTTATTTACTTGTGTATCATAAACACATTTAGGACAGTGTTTCTCAGCCATTTCCTCACTACTCTTGTTTCTCGGGAGTCCTGGTGTGGTGCTGTGGATTAATGCACTGGACTGCAAGGTCGGTGGTTCAAGCTCACCAGCTGCTCCTAGGAAACCCTTTATAGGATCAGCCTGGGTTGAATCCATCTTGATGGTACTTAACAACAACATTGTTTCTCTGGTCCTTTGAAGAGCCACATACTTTTGTAATATCCAAGATTTTTGCCTGCTTGCCTATTCGTATCATCCCCATTGAGAATTCATGTTTTAGAAGAAAGTAAGAGTTCGCTTTTTGCTGGTTATTGCAGAATTTAGTAGTTAAATTATCTTGGAAGGAGCCCTGGTGATGCGTTGGGTTAAGCACTAGACTGCTAATCACAAGGTTGGTGGTTCAAACTCACCAGCCACTCTTTTGGGAAAAAGATGAGGCTGTCAGTTTCCATAAAGATTTATAGTCCCCAAAATTAATAATGAATAATTCTACTCAGGCAAGGATGGCCAGACTTCGTCTCTCATACTTCGGACATATTGTCAGGAGGTTCCAGTCACTGAAGAGGGATATCATGTTTGGTATCAAGGTGAAGGGTCAGAGAAAGGAAGACCCCCCAAGTAAGATGTATTGGCCAAGTGGCAGCATCAGTGGGCTCAAGCGTGGCAACAGTTGTGAGGTTGACCAAGACCAGGCGGTGTTTTCGTTCTGTTGTGATAGGGTCACTATGAGTCGGTACTGATTCGATGGCACGTAACAACAACAACTCTGTCCTATAGAGTGTCCATGAGTCAGAATCAATTCGATGGGCAATGGGTGGGTAAGTGTCATGGAAATGTTAGGTGCTGTAAAGCAAATAAGTAAATCATTGGTTTTTGTCCTAGTATTTTGTTCAAACTCACCAGCTGCTCCTTGGAAACCTTATACAGACAGGGTTACTATGAGTTGGAACCAACTCGATGGCACTTAACAACAATAGCAATTTTGTTTTTATGCAGTTATTGCACTGTAGGATAAGCACTGACTGCAAGGTCAGTTTGAACCACAGGTCGGTGATTCAAACTCACCAGCCGCTCCTCGGAAACCCTACACATCAGACGCTATGGGTCCAACTGACTCAATGGTACTCAACAACAAAAAAATCATAAATACACCTGTATTCTCAGATACTTAGTAGAAACATGCAAGACTTGTTCTCATCTGTGCTGGATTTGTGTAGTGTGAGTTTTTCAATAAATATAAAGTTACATTGGAAATCAGACACAGGGATTAGAAGGCTGAGTATGTAAATTCAGTCGGACACCTTTTACTCTGTAAGCTCTTGCTCAGCCTGCCGTGTGTGCATGTCCATTGCAGGAACTGGCTTTACGGTTGACGCCTTTCAATATGGACCGATTGAAGGCTGCACAGCCTATTTCCTCACGCATTTCCATTCTGATCACTATGCTGGGTTGTCTAAAAACTTCACTTCTCCGCTGTATTGTAGTGAGGTAAGTTTTGATCTTCTACGCTCCGAACTTGTAGAATGTGAAGAACTTTTAAGCACCTTGGTTAAGAAAGAGAATAAAACGGTCAGATCTTTTATTCTACTGGAAAAGTTACAAGAAAACAGATTCCAAATTGAGGTTCTGTAATTAAATAAGTTAATATCACCAAGTAGAATTGATTTTATAAATTCCTTATTATATGGAAACAGCAGATTAACTGTTTGTGATGTGCTAGGTTCATCCAGCAGACATTTACTGAATGTCTTAAAAAGATGTACAGGGCAAAATATCTAACTTGAATGAGTAAACTATCTAATTTTAGGAGGGCTTCTAGAAGTGTCTGAAACAATTCCATTATCTTTTCATTCCATTTTTCCATGAACTTTTTAAAGCTCCTTTGTCCAGTTTCCAGGGGAAACACATCCACAAATGATACCACAATGGGATTGTAATAGTGAAACCAGTAGCATGCCCAGGGAAGAAGATGGAACACCTTATTCTGTCCATGGTTTAAGAAAGTTTCATGGAAATACCTTGAACCAATTATTAAATGCATAAAGAGGTCCAGTGAGGTGCCCCAGAAAACAGGACTAGTAATGTAGTAATGACAGAACCAGAATTTGAATGTAGAGGATGGGGAAGGGGGCATTCCAGGGAGGGGCTAGAGTTTGTGCAAAGGCATGAGAACCTGAGAGACACACCCATTGCAGGCACTTTGGAGAAAGGCTGGAGCAGAAGGGGGCAGGGACAAGCTCCCAATGGGTTTTGAATGCCATGCTGGAAACGAGCAGTGTGGTGACACTCATTTTACAACAGGTACTCGCCTGCCTTTTTGGAGGGTTTACTGGAATCTAAGTGAGAGTACAAGGGGACTCTTCGGGTGCTGTGACTCCTAACTAGATGTGAAGTCTGATACGTTACTATTTACTGTAAAACTTCATTAAGGTTTTCTATGCTGTATCCACACACCCTGTTTTACAGATAACTGGCAATTTGGTGAAGAGCAAGCTTCATGTGCAAGAACAATACATCCATCCATTGCCAATGGACACAGAATGTCCAGTGAATGGGGTCAGAGTTGTTTTGCTTGATGCCAATCAGTAAGTGCCAAAGTTACTTTAATCATTGCCTGTTTGGTTTAATTCTTAAGAAGAAAAAAAAAACATTGCGTATTTATTTAGAATCTAAACTAATGTGCATGGTATATCTTATAACTTGAATAAAATATATTTCTCCTTTCGAAAAAATAATGTGCCCAATTATACCAACCCAGTTATACTCAGAGATTAAACACAGACGCAGCCTGTAAATGTTACCTCAGTCAATCTTTTTATCCACTTTAGCTTACTGTACTTAACATGAGACTCCATCTTGTTAAGTGCTGTTGAGTTGGTTCTGATTCATAGTGATCCTGTATAGGGTTTTTGAGGAGCAGCTGGTGAGTTTCAACTGCCCTTGCAGTTCAAACCAGCCATGTTGTCTAGTGCTTATCCTACAGCACCACACCAGGACACCATCTTATTAAAAAAAAAAAAAAATTAAGATGATGTGACTGCTATACTTTTTCAAGATAACTTTTTGCCCTTTAGTGTCATTTACGTAAGTGAGCAACCTATAATCCATGCAGACATTAGAAGGTGTTTTTCCTTTAAAGTAAGAAATCCTTCAGGCTTTTAATACTAAAACCACGGAAGATTTTTCTTGGAAAGCACTTTTCACTTTTGCCTCTTTAAAAAAAAAAGAAGTTCTGTCAGTATTCATATTGCCAAAGTACAGCTATCAGTTATGCATCTGTGAAAGCTAGACTGTATCACCCTTTTCAAGATCTAGTGCTATCTTGCATATGCTAATATTTTGTTATAGATTTGTATGTCTATTTTCATGGTGGATATTGGTCTGCAGCTTTTTGTAATCCTTTTGTCTTGTTTTGGTATCAGAATAACGCTGGCCTTTAAAATGTTCTTTTCCTTTATTTTCTAAATGATGTTGTGTAGTATTGGTGTTATTTCTTCTCTAAGTGTTTGATAGAATTCCCAGTTTTAACTGGGGTGGTGAGCAGATTAAGTGGAAGGATTTTTATTATTTAATTGTTCCCTAAACTTTAGGAAATATTACTTAATTTTTTTCTACATTTCCTTAAAATTTAAAGCAAAGGTTCTGTGCGTTTGGGCAGTAACTTACAATCCACAAGACCACCATCAGGCTCGATGATCTGCTAGAAGGATTCTCGGAACTCAAGAGGAGCTGTTGAACTCATAGTTAGAGTTTTCTTACAGTCAGCAGTGGGGACACAGGCTGCCAGGAATTCTTTCTCAGTAGAGTCACTTGTTTCTACTCTTGAGTACTTACTGGTGAGTCGATTCCTACTCATAGAGACCCCATGTAAACAAAGTAGAATAGCCTCATAGGGATCCTAGATAGGATCTTTATTGGCGCAGATAGCCAGGTCTTTCTTCTGGAGAGCCATTGTTGGGTTCAAGCCACCAATCTGGTTTGCAGCTGAGCACTTACCACCAGTGGCTTAGATGTTCTTGATTCTTCCAGCAGTGATATGTGGTAGCCTACGCAGTGTTGCTAACAGGAACACTCAGCTGAGCATTTATTTAATTATTTTAATGAATAATTAATAATTATTTTAATGAACACTCAGTTAATTATTTTAGTCCTTAGTATCTAGGATTGTTATTGGTGGTCAGCACCTGTGTGACTGATCTCAGTCTCTCAGACTCCAGACCCCCGGTGTCCATAGATCTCATTGATAGCATCAGCTGTCAGATCAAACTAGTACCATGTGGTCCAAGACCTCAGGCATAGAAGAACACTTTTATGAGACAGAGTATTCCAAGGGCTCACCGCGCGCTTCCCCAAGAGTCTGTCCTGGAGACTGACCTATCAGGGGACTGCGTAGGCTTTGAGCTATCCTTAACTACTGGCTACTTGTCATGTGCACACATTTATTTTCCATCACCTCATGTGCATGTGAAAGCTGGACAATGAATAAGGAAGACTGGAGAAGAATTGATGCCTTTGATTTATGGTGTTGGCAAAGAATACTGAAAGACTGCCAGAAGAGCAAACAAATCTGTGTTGCAAGAAGTACTGCCAGAATGGCTCCTTAGAAGTGAGGATGGCTTCATCTTTCCCACTTTGGACATGTTATCAGGAAGGGACCAGTCTGCCCCTGGAAAAGGACATCAGGTTTGGTAAAGGGGAGGGAAGACCCTCAATGAAATGGAGTGACACAGTGACAGCATCAGTTGGCTGACACATAACAATTGTGTGGATGCTGCAGAACCAACGCAATGGCCCCTAACAACAGGAACTACAAATTTCCTTCAGCTGCAGAGCTGTGTTTCCTCTAGGGTGCAATGTTATGCCATTGCGATCAGCTAATAATGTATGTGAATTTGATATTGAAATAACTGTTGATCCTTTGGGTACTTTGCCTGTGTGAAGAATGTTTCTTAAAATGTTTCTGTTTAGCTGTCCAGGTGCGGTCATGATCCTTTTTTATCTTCCTGATGGGCCTGTCATTTTACACACGGGAGACTTCAGGGCAGATCCATCCATGGAACGCTCTCTTTTGGCAAACCAGAAAATCCACACACTTTACTTGGATACAACGTAAGAGAGGTTTTGCTTGTGTCTTTCTTTCCTCACTAATAGCATTTGCTCTATAAATTATGAATAATTTGAGCATCTAGTTATTCTAGTTATTTAAATGAGGATTTATTGTTACTTATTTTAAGGCTATTTGTCAGATGAATTCCATTTTAAAATATACTTGCTTACAGACAATTGATTACAGTTTAATTCTTTTGTAATTTCTCTTTTAAAATATGATTTATAGGGGAAACCTGTTACTAAAGCAAAGAAGAAAATTTGGAACATACTCCAGGAAAACCTCCTTTTAGGTTATCTTTTCAAAATATCCATGTAACTATGAAGTATGATTATAAAGAGAAAACAGACCAAATGTAATTCTGTTTCTGAGAATTCAAAATTACACTTGTTCATTTCCCAAAAAAGAACATTTATGGCAGCTTTGAAATCCTGAATAGGAATTACTCGTGTGGCACTGTAGGACAAGCACTGGACTGCTAATCACAAGGTCGTCAGTTCAAACCCACCAGCCATTCCTTGGAAACCCTAACCAAGCTTGTTATGAGTCAGAACTGACCCAGCTGCACTTAACAACAACAACAACAACAATAAATAAAAATGGCGTATGCTGTTATCTTTTTAAAACAGCTCATCAGTTTGTTAGAAATTATGATAATTATTTCAACCTGTTTCAAGAAGTGTGTACTTTTTGATAAAAACACAAACTTTAAATATTTTAATAAAAGCTGATCTTTCCACATCCAGCTTTCTAACACTGCAGTTCTCTTTTCCACTCTTTTATATGAAGGAGCTCTGGTAGCGTAGTGGTTACGAATTGGGCTGCGAACCTTATGGCCAGTAGTTCGAAACTACCAGCCGCTCTGCGGGAGAAAGATGAGGCGTTCTGCTCCCGTAAAGATTTACAGCCTCGGAAACCCTGTGCAGGGCCGCTATGGGTTGGAACTGACTCAACGGCACTTAACAACAACAACATATGCACACCAACTACTAGATCAACTAAGAAAATAAGTAAAAACTTGTTTTCTATTCTATATGAGATTCTGAAATTCTCAGGTGACTTTCATAAAGAAACAACTGAGTTTTTGCATTTATTTTTATTTTAGGGCTATTAACCAGCAAAAACACTTTTGGAAATTAGGGAAAATATGTTCGGTTGGTGTACTTTATGAATTTTTGATGAAAAGATGCATAATTTTTATGTTGTATGCAGACGAGGAAGTGTCTTCAAAAAGTTCCTGGAAAAATTCCTTTTTTAATCAATTTTCCACAAGCTTTTGGAATTCCCCTAGTATATGTGTGTGTGTGTAGATAGATAAGTAATAGTCTTACTGCTATTTTTCTCACTGTGTGTTAGTAACTTGAGACAGACCTTTTATTACTATATAAGAAAGTTTCCCTTGTCTCCGTGTGAATATTAACTATTTGTAACCTACTTCATTAAATTCAGTTAGCATCATTGTTTTAATAATTTTGTTTTACTAAAACAGAATTCTTCAGGCCAAATGAAATCCTACCAGTATTTTCTTTGATAGTGATAAAGTGGTTTTTTGAAAAAAGGATATTGGCATTCAGATTAGTTCATTACTAAAATAGCTGGCTGGCTAGAAATATTCTTTGAGAAAGAAATGTTTTCAGAAAGGTGATTTTACTACTTCAGGGAACTGGAAGAGGTTTAATGAGAAGGATATACTAACACCTTCTAATTCCATCATAAATTATCAATAGCTGGCAACAACCATCTTAGCTCGTGGGCAGTGCTGCCGCCAGAGTGTGTCATTTTGCTCAAAGCGTGTTTTCTAAAATTGCATCCAATGGAATGCTTGGCCTTTCTTACTGCTCTCTTAATACGTGTCTTGTTTTCTTATTACAGATATTGCAGCCCAGAGTATTCCTTTCCGTCTCAGCAAGAAGTTATCCAGTTTGCCATCAACACTGCCTTTGAGGCTGTAACCCTAAACCCACGTGCTCTTGTGGTCTGTGGCACTTACTCCATTGGAAAGGAGAAAGTCTTCCTTGGTGGGTGGTAGCTTTACGTCATTTGCGTTCATGTATGATAAAGATCACATCCTCTGTACAGAGGCCTTTGAATCTCGAATCTTGCAGTTGATATCGAATTCCTGAAATGACTCTAAAGTTAAAGGGACATTTGGTTGAGATGGATACAGTTAAGCATTTAATACGTGTTTTTGTGGCAGACTTTTAGCTACAGGATGTTTACATTCATACATTCATCGTTTCATAAACTTGTAAAGATGACTAAGGCACAATTACATAGCTGTGGTTTTTGAGGTTAACCATTAAGGAGCTCTAGTAGCATAGTGGTTATGAGTCGGGCTGCTAACCTCACAGTCAGCAGTTTGAAACTACCAGCCGTTTCGCGGGAGAAAGATGAGGCTTTCTGCTCCGGTAAAGATTTACTGCCTAGGAAACCCTATGCAGGGTCACTATGAGTTGGAACCGACTCCATGGCAAGCCGTCAGTTGATTATTTTAGAGAAATCCTAATAGATTTCTGGATGCATAAGTATATAGTTCCTATTGTTAAATGCTGTCGAGTCAGCTTCTACTCAGCAACTCTGTATAGGGTTTCCAAGAAACAGCTGGTGGGTTTGAACTGCTGACCTTGTGGTTTGCAGTTCAGTGCTAATCCTACAGCACCACACCAGGAGTACTTCATATAGATAATCCTAAAAACCTACTGCTATTTAGTTGATTCTAACCCATAGTGACCCTGTATAGGTTTTCTAGGCTGCCAATCTTTACAGGAGCAGAAAGCCTTAGACTTTCTCCCAAGAGTAGCTAGTGAGTTTGAACTCTATAGCACCACCAGAGGTTGTATAGGGGTTAGTATACGGTTTTGTAAAATACTCTCATTTCTTTTCTATTTTTGTTGCTAAACCTTTGTAATGAGCTGTGGTTGCACGAAGGTTAAGTGGTTGGCTGTGAACTGAAAGACTTGTATTTTGAACCCACCAGTGATGCTGCAGGTGACAGGAGCTGGCCCTCTTCTCCTGTAAGGCTCGGTGCTGTTGTGAAGTACTGCCCAGTCGGCTCTGACTCACAGTGGCCCTGTGTGAGGGCTCCAAAGCGGCAAAGCTCTGTGGGAGCAGGGAGCTTCATCTTTCTCCACTGGAGCAACTGGTGCATTTGTGCTGCCAATGTTGAGATTCATAGCTCAGTGCTTTTTCTACAGAGCCACCGTCCTCCTCCTCTAAAGATTATAGCCTAGAAAACCCGATGGAGCAGGTCTGCTCTGTCCAGTAAGGTTGTCCTGGTTACAATCCTGTGACTCAATGGCACACAATAACAATAAGACCTTCTTAAGTCTGGTTACAGATGTTGGACATTAGCTGTGAAGTGGGAAAGCCAGAGTTGTAGCTCTTCCAAATTTGGCTCTTTCCCTTAACGCTACTCCTTTCTAGAGTACTTAAGGAATTTTTAAAATACTAAGCCTTAACAAATAAACTCTGGCTTCCTCACACAATTTGCCAACAGAATTATATAGCATTTCTGAAATGTTATAGCAAAAAGTGTAAACATTGAAAATTTCTTATTTGATAAATTCTGATACTAACATTTTGCATGTTTTCACTGTATTGTTTTTTCATAATCTGTAGTTTTACTGTTTTTAACCTTTTCTTTTGTCGATAGCCATTGCTGATGTTTTGGGCTCAAAAGTTGGCATGTCCCAAGAAAAGTATTCAACATTACAGTGTCTCAATATACCAGAAATGAGTTCCCTCATCACCACAGACATGTGCAGTGCACTGGTTCATATTCTACCCATGATGCAAGTTAACTTTAAGGTAAGCGTTCAAGAGGAAAGGGACCTTGGTGGTACAGTGGGTGAATCATTGGGCTGCTAACCCAGAGCTCGGTGGTTCAAACCCACCAGCTGCCGCATGGAAAAAAGATGAGGTTGTCTGCTTCTTTAAAGATTTACAAACTCAGAAACCTTAGAGAGCAGTTCTGCTTTGTCCTATAGGGTCACTGTGATTCGGGCCCAACTCAGTGGCATTGGGTTTAAGTTGTTTCATGAGGATGGCTGTAGTAAAAAAAGATGAAGATATACAGAAACTGGAACCGTCATTCATAGCTCGTGAGAATGTGAAATGGCCCAGCTGCTTTGGAAAACAGTTTGACAGTTCCCCCCAAAGCTAAGCATGGGGTTACCACATGACCCAGCCATTCTACTTCTAGATAAATGAAAACAAAAATGTATGCATAAATGTTTATTACAGCATTATTACCTTAAAAAGTAGAAACCACCCAAATACCTATCAACAGTAAAAGATGTCAGACACAGAAGGCCAGAGCCCTTTTCTGAAAGGCCCAGAATGTGTTAGTCCGAAGAGACAGGAAGTAGGTTAGTGGCTGCCAGTGTTCAGAGGAGGAGAGAATGGGGAGTGGCTGCCATGAGACACAGCATTTCTTTTTTTGGGGGTGGGGTGGTGGTGGGGAGTGATGAAAAGGCCCTGAAACTAGTGGTGGTGCTTACCCAACTTTGTGGATATACTTAAAACCCACTGAGTTGGTCACTTTAAAAAACAAAACAAAAGATCAATTTTTGAGGACAAAGAAGTCACCAAGATTGATTGAGAAGTGAGCCGCTGGAGGAGCCTTGAGCATGATAGACAGAGGAGCTGGCTGTGTTGGTGACTAGAGTGAAGGGCCCAGTGGGGGCTTTCTTGGTGTTGCTTAGCTATACATAAATTTTCATATTGTGAGGAAGCACAACCATAAGGTACAGAAAAATTAAAGATGCCTGGGGAAAAGGAATTATTAATGAAGTGTGGTTTCTGCAGGGGACGTCTGAACCCAGGTAGAGGGAGTTGTTTGCATTTATCAGTAAGAGGATTTCCTGCTCTCTAACCATTCCCTCACCACCTACAACTCAGAGATTTTCTATCCCCTTTTATATTACACATTGTCTTCTTTTAAGAGATCATATATTTCTAAATACAAACTTGCATGATCATTCAGTCATCAAACAACTACAAACAAGTGCAATTCTTTTTTTTTTTTTTCCAATATAGTAATTCAAATTAGTTTCCATGACACCAAGAAAAGTTCCTTCTGAACTGTTTTGTTTTGTTTAAGATGAGTGATGTGGAGTCATGAAGGCTGTGCTGTTTCTGGGTTTGTCATCTGTTGCTGATGCTGTCTTCAGTAGCCCTTCCCTTTCTTCCATTAAAGCAACCAGGTACTAATGACAGTTTTGAAGATTTCTCATCTTCAAAACACACATGGAGAAAAAAACTGATGGTTTTTTAGGACTCTCTGGTAAAGCAAATTCTGTTTTTGTTTTTGTTTTATTTTTACCAACCAAAAGTAGTTTAATTGCTTCAAAGTTAATGACTTTCTGTGACAATGTAAACCTAATACAATTTTCAGAGTTTCCAAAGCCTTTGAGACCTTACACATAATACCGTTCACACTAGCTAGTTGAACATTTGGGTTTATATGTATGCTGTGTAATTGATTACCACCTCGTGTTTAAACCTGACTGATGGAATGCAGTCAAACATAACAGTGTTGTGATAGATGATTGTTTGTGTATCAAAACAGTAATCATAGTGGCATATGCTGAACAAATTGTTTCCACAAGCAGGTTTATAAGTAACAGAGACAAGCAATTGATCAGGGATTTTGTGTTGATTAAATATATTCTTAATAAAATTCCTCATGAGTTTTTCTCAAATTGTGATTAGTGGGCCACTAGCAGCTATTTGCAGAGTCCTGGTGTGACACCATAGGATAAGCACTCGATCACAAGGTCAATTTGAACTTCAAGGTTGGCAGTTCAAACTCACCAGCTGCTCTTCAGAAACCCTATACAGGGTCGCTGTTAGTTAGAACCAACTCGGTGGCACTTACCAGCAACCACAACAGTTGTTCTAAAGGTTTGGCATATGTGATAATGCCATGTGTTTGGGTTTGGGACACAGGTTAATGATATTTTTGTGCTAACTCTAATTTGTCTCTTGAAAAGCAGAAATTCTCCTGTATTTGCAGTGACAATAGGAATGGATAGGAATGATGTATGTGGTGTTACATGTGTAATTACTCTAAACCTCAATTGTATATTGCCTTTTTTTAAGGGAGAGGAGACACAAAGAGGAGGCTTAGTAATTAAGCAGCAACATTATATTAGCTAGGTCCTGACTAACCAAGACCAAAACTAGAAAATCTGCAGACCCAGGGATATTGTGATGGAAAGTTAGTTATATATCAGAACTTAACATTTTATATATGTGTGTGTGTGTAGTTGGCAAGAAATAAGACTGTTAAATGGTAGGCAACTTGGTGTCACATGGGCTAAGCACTCAGCTACTGAACAAAAGACTGGCAGTTCAAACACAACAGTGACTATTTAGGAGAAAGATAGGGCAGTCTGCTCCCATAAAGGCTACAGCCTTGGAAGCCGTGGGGAAGATCTCGTCTTCTCTCTGGGCTCACTGTGAGTTGGAATGGACTTGACTTAGTGGGTTTATTGGAGTCCTATTGTGGCGCTGTGGATTAGTGCACTGGACTCTAAGGTCACTTTGAACCGCAAGGTTAGTGGTTCAAGTTCACCAGTCACTCCTCAAAAACCCTATACAGGGTCATTCTGGGTCAGGACCAACTCAACAGCACTTAACATCACATCATAACATCAGTGGGTCTATTCCTTTATTAAAGAGCCCTGGTGGTGAGGTGGGTTAAATGTCAGGCTGCTAACTGCAAGGTCGGTAGTTCAAACCCACTAACGGTGTTCCAGGAGAAAGATGAGGCTGTCTGCTTCTGTAAACATTTACAGCCTAGGCATCTCCAAGGAGCAGTTCTAGTGTGTCTTACAGGGTCTCTCTGAGTCCGGGTCAACTCCCCACCAGTGATGGTGGGCTGTTCTTACGGAAGTATGTCTGTCGGCATTTATCTATCAATCATCAGTTGGTATGTGTGAATAGAGGTATGCTTGGACTAGTGTTTACCAAGGGAATGTTATCATTACTGTGTAGTGGGATTTGGGGGGAGAGTGCATACATTTGATTCATTTGTAGCTATCTAGAAGTTATTATTTGTTGACATAATTACATGTGGTTAAAGCTGTGCCTCCTTATTTTTCCAAGCTGTCCTTAAGCTTGTTCAACTTCAGATAAGTAGAAGAGGAATGTTTGTGTGTTTTTTCAGTGACGTATTTTTTAGAATCGTAGTACAAGGTTGTGACACTGCTGTACAAGTGAACGTTCCCGAGGCTGTGCCGACGTACCACCGTCAGTCCTTTGCTGCACTCCGTGGATCCCAGCCTGGCTGACCGTGAAGTCACGATGCTGTTTTTACTCCACAGGGTTTACAGCGGCATTTGAAGAGGTGTGCTGGGAAATATAATCAGATCTTGGCCTTCCGACCTACAGGATGGACCCACTGTAACAAGTTAACCAGTATAGCAGATCTCATTCCCCAGACTAAAGGAAACATCACAATATATGGTACGCTTTTCAAATCCCTTCACTTTTAATGTTTGTAATATATTTTCCTTTAAGCACTGTAAAGTTAAGTTCAAGAAAAACTTTAACAATTTGAGATTTTAAATCTTTGCAGACTCTATGGGGAACCTGCTTTCTTCCACAAGCCATTTGGATATTTATAACATCACTTTACTATAAGTTGATGTTACTATGAAAAAAGCTTCGAGATTTATGAAAGTTCAGGTCCCACCTGGGGTTGCCTTGGCAGGACTGGGCCACGTGATTTTGCGGCATAATGAGGTGTAGGCCACCCCTGCTCTGTACTTATATAAAAGGAGCTTGACCGTAGTCAGCACTGGACAGTGCAGATCGCTTTACTTGTGTGCTCAGGGACATCTAAAGGGAACTGCGGACATCTAGAGAGGAAGGGTACTGCGGTATCAGATAAACTGAAAGACCAGATGACTATAAGGTTGAGAACAGAAGACGATGGATTTGATGTAGAAACAGTGAGAGATACAGACGACTTCCAGTTTTCCTCTCCGGGGGAAAGTTTACCGTTGCCTGCAGATGTTAGCTTACCAGTGGGCTTTCTACAGTCGTGACTGATTTGACACATTTTGGAAATGTTACCAGGCCAGTGACTGACTGACTGTCTTTCAGGGACCCGCCTCCCCTCCTTTCTTTATGGTACTTGTCCTTCAGTGAGGATGAGGAGAGATGTTTAGCTTTTCTTCTTTTTCTTTTTGCTTGTTTTGTGTGTACAACACTTAATTTGTGTGAAATCTGCTGCTGGGAGCTGGGAGTCACAAAGCTGCTCCACACTCTTGACCTGTTCCTCTTATTTCTCCTGAAAGCCACATGTGAGCAAAATGCCTAAAGGAAAGAAACGTCTTAAAAGAAGAAAAAGTCTAATAAACAGGAATCTCTAGAACTGCATGTTATTAAATATCCTTTCTTTTGTGTTGCAGGGATTCCTTATAGTGAACACAGCAGCTATCTAGAAATGAAACGTTTTGTCCAGTGGCTGAGGCCCCAGAAAATCATACCAACTGTAAATGTAGGCACCTGGAAAGACAGGCGTGCTATGGAGACCTATTTTAGAGAATGGAAATTGGAATCAGGATATTGATGCTACCCCTCAGGACTGTCATGGGTTAGGAGTTAAATCTATGTTGTAGGAACTGTTGTTTCACTTCCAGTGGAAACCCCTTGCTGCTTCCTCATACTTGTGTAGCTTATTCTTTCTTTAACCTGTGCGTAACATGTCCGTGCTGCGGGATGCCTCCCGGTATGGTCAGTGCTAACTAAGACAGGCTCTCCAGAGTCTCCTCAATACTTAATAGCTTGCCTGTCCCAATGAAGGCAGTTAACTTCTGCATCAAGCTCTAGAGGTGGAAACAAAGGCAGGTCCAGGGACCAAAGGGACTCATGATAATGGATAGGCTAAGGTGAAATCAGTCTGTAAAAGGTATTATGTATCTTTAACATTATTTAATATGATTTATGATATTTTATGAACTGAGACTTTCATATGAATGTATACTTAAATAAAAAATTAATCCTAGATTTGCAATAGTGTCTTGGGTGTTTTAATTTGTAATTGTGAGGTCTGTCTGCGTTCTCTCGGGCTGCTATAAGAGAAACACCACAAGGGGCGTGGCTTTAACCAACAGAAACTTACTCTTTCACAACTCTGCAGGCTCCCAAGTCCAAATTCAGAGGGTCAGCTCTCGGGGAGGACTTTGTCCCTCGGTCAGCTCTGGACAGAGGGCCATGTCGTCTTTCAGTCTGTGTGGGTCTGGATGTGAGTCTTACCCTGGGTCTAGGAGGCTCCTAGTACAGGGCTCCAGCCCTGGCTCTTGGTTTTGGATGGTCGTGTTTTCCTCACTCTGCTCACTTCTCTGTCCTTCTCTCTTTCATAAGATAACAGGTGATTCAGGGGGACTCCCCTTAAATGGGATCAGGGCTGTGACCAGAGTTAAGGGCCAGCATCCCACCCTAATCCCCTTATAAGTGATTGTTGCTCACGTACCAGATCCTATCGTGGAGGGTGACCACATCATTACATCACTGCCAAACACAGAGAATCACGGCCCAGCCAAGTTGACATGTATTTTGGCAGGGTGGGGGTGGAGGTATGATTTAATCCATGACAGTCTGTCCTTTAGTGTTCCAAACTTCATGTCCTTGCCACATGCAGAAAACTTTCACCCTGTCAGTACATCTGAAAAGGCTTAAATCAGCTCAAGGCCAAATTTCATCCTGGGGCAAAATTCTTCATCTGGGAATCCAGTATACAAATTCTCTGCTTCCAAAGAACAAGGTGGGACAGGAACCAGGTAGGCATTTCTATTACAAATGGAGAAATTGGAGAGAAGGGAGGAATAACCAAGCAAGTCAAATCCCAAGCAGGGCTATTTGTTTAGAGACAGGCACAATCCTCACCTCTGAGACCATCTAGACAATGACCTCCAAACTTGGTGTCAGCCATGGTCTCTGGATTCTTGCTGGAGCTCAGCCACCCAGGCTGACTGGGACAGCAACTCTGCTCCCTTAACTATGGTCAAGCCTATCCTCCTAGTCCAACTGAACGGGGACCTCACTCTCTAAGCCCTGGCAAGCCTTGTGCTTGTTGGATATGGCAACCTTACCCTTTCAGCTGTGGACAGCAGCTCCAGCCCCACACTCCAGAACCGAGTTGGTGAAGGTCTGACTCAAACCTCTGAGAGCTAGCAGGCCATGGTTCCAGCCTTTGAGACCCCAGACGCCATGGCACTGCCCTTTGATATCAAGGCAGCTCTACTTACAGGGTTCTGTGCCTTTTCAGCTTCTGATTCCTGGTTCTTTGATCTTTCAGCCCCTTGCGCCTCTTGGACCATCCCTGCCTCTGCCTGTTTAAGCAAGCATCGATAGCTCTTTATTGTTAAATGCTGTCAAGTCAGTTCCGACCTTTAGCAACTCTATATAGGGTTTCTGAGGAGTCACTGGTGATCCTGAACCGCCAACCTTGCAGTTCAAATGGTTTTTCAGTCTGGCACATTAACCCACAGCACCACACCAGGCTCTACCAAAAAGGCCCAGAGGTACCAAAACTCTGCCAGCACTTCTTGGCTTGAAAGTGCTCAGCTCTCTCACTGTGGCTCAGCAAGTCTAGCTCTGCTAACAAATTCCTGGAGGTACCCCACTCTATTCCCCCAGGAAGCCTCCTGCCTGAAGGCACTCAGCTCTGTCACTCTGTGGGTTGGCTCAGACTAGTCTGGTTCTGCTGCCACAGTTTCTCTGCTTGCTGTCTGTACCATCTTTGTATTACAGCTCTCCTCACTTCTTTATGAACCCTCACCAAAATGGCCTTTGACATTCATAATTATACCAACAGTCTCTTCAAGGAATGCTGTCGAATCAGTTCCAGTCATGTGACCCTGAAAAGGGTGTTGGAGGAGCCGCTGGAGACTTACTATTAAGCGTCTACTCATTACCTAACTCCCAAACAGCTTCTACATTTTAGGTGTCTGTTAGATCAGCACCCCACTCCCAAATACCACGTTCTGGCTTAGTTATTTAATTCTATTGTTTTAAGGTGCTATGGAGTCAGTTCCGACTCAAAGCAACCCTATGCACAACAGAACAAAACACTGTCTGGTCCTGCGCCAACCTCACAATTGTTATATTTCAGCCTATTTTTGTTGCTACTGTATCAATCCATCTTGTTGGGGGTTTTCCTCTTTTTTGTTGACCCTCCATTTTACCAAAGGAGCTCCAGTAACAATAGATTACATACTGGGCTGTTAACTGCCAGGTCAGCAGTTTAAATCCACCACAGCCCCGCAAGAGAAAGATGAGGCGTTCTGCTCCTGTAAAGATTTGCAGCTTGGGAAACCCTACACAGGATTGCTATGAGCCAGGACAGATTCGACAGCGCATACTACCACCACCAGTTTACCAAGCATGATGTCCTTCTCCAGGGACTAATCCCTCCTGACAATATGTCCCAACAATGATAGACAAAGTCTCACAATCCTCGCTTCCATGGGGCATTCTGGCTCTACTTCCTCTAAGACAGATCTATTTGGTCTTTTTTGCAATCCATGGTACTTTCAATATTCTTTGCCAATACAATAATTTAAATGCATCGGTTCTTTGTTAATTGTTACCCAACTTTCACATACAGATGAGGCAATTGAAAATACTGTGACTTAGGACATACACACCCTAGTCCTCAAAAAGATATCTTTGCTCTTGAACACTTTAAAGAGGTCTTGTGCAGAAGATTTGCCTAATGCAATATGTTGCTTGATTTCTTGACTGCTGCTTCCATGAGTATTGATTGTGGACCCAAGCAAACGGATGTCTTCGACAACAACTATCTTTTCTCCTTTTATCATGATGTTATTTATTGCTCCAGTGGTGAGGATTTTTCTTCTCTTTACATTGAAGTACAATCCATACTGAAGGCTGTGGTCTTTGACCTTCATTAGTATTTTAAGTCCTCTTTGCTTTCAGCAAGCACGGTTGCATCACCTGCATATCACAGGTTGTTAGTCATCCTCCAATCCTGATACTATATTCTTCATATAATCCAGCTTCTCGGATTCTTTGCGCAGCACACAGATTGAAATAAATATGGGAAAGAATACAAGTCGGCATACACCTTTTTGAATCTTAAACCATTCAGTATCCCCTTGTTCTGTTCAAACAACTGCCTCATGGTCTATGCACAGGTTCCTCATGAGCACAATGAAATGTTCTGGAATACCCATTCTTTGCATTGTTAATTTAACACTGCTATAGCAGATATTCCGCAAATGGGTGGCCTTAACAAGCAGAAACTTATTCTGTCATCATTGAGGAGGCTGGAAGCCTGAATTCAGAGTTCCAGCTTAGGGGAAGGCTTTCTCTCTGCGTCAGCTCTCAGGGAAGGTCCGCCTCTTCTTTCAACATGTGTGGGCCCAGTGTTCCTTGGCGAGCTACATGTATCTTGGCATTAGTCTTCTCCTAGGTCTAGGAGGTTCCCAGCACAGGAACTCCACTCCTGGCTTTCCTTCCTTGGAAGTAATAGGTCCGTCTCTCTGCTCACTTCTCTTTCCATTTATTACAGTTGATGCCAGCCATACACCAGGGACACTTTCATGGGATCCGGACTGTGACCGAGTAAGTGGGTTGCATCCTTCTCTTGGTGTGATGCTATAGAGTAAGCAGTCTACCTTCAGATCGGTTTAAACTGCAAGGTCAGCAGTTCAAACTCACCAGCCACTACTCAGAAAACCTACACAGGTTCGCTAAGAGTCAGAACCTAGTTGACAGCACTTAACAGCAACACAAAAATGACAACATCCTTTCCTAATCCCCTTATAACTAATTGATTAATCACATCAAATCCTATCATGGTTGTTGTTGTTAGGTGCCATCGAGTCAATACTGACCCATAGCAACCTTATGCATAGCAGAACAAAACACTGCCCGATCCTGGGCCAACCTCACTACTGTTGCCACACTCGAATCCATTGATGTTGCCACTTGGCCAATCCATCTCATTCAGGGTCTTCCTCTTTTTCTCTGACCCTCCTCCACCTTACCAAACATGATATCCTTTTCCAGTGACTGGTCCCTCCTGACAATATGTCCAAAGTATGAGAGACGAAGTTTGGCCATCTTGGCCTCCAAGGAGCACTCTGTCTGCACTTCTTCCAACACAGATCTGTTGGTTCTTTTGGCAGCCCATGGCACTTTCAATATTCTCCTCCAACACCATTAACTCAAAAGCATCAATTCTTCTCTGGTCTTCCTTATTCACTGTCCAGCTTTCACATGCATATGAGGTTATTGAAAATACCATGGCTTGGGTCAGGCGCACCTTAGTCCTCAAGCTGACAACTATGCTCTTCAACACTTTAAAAAGGTCTTGTGCAGCAGATTTGCCTAATGCAATACGTCATTTGATCTCTTGACTGCTGCTTCCGTGAGTATTGATAGTTGATCCAAGACGAATGAAGCACTTGACAACCTCAATCTTTTCTCCATTGATAAGGATGTTGTTTATTGATCCAGTGGTGAGGATTTTTGTATTCTTTACATTGAGATGTAATCCATACCGAAGGCTGTGTTCTTTGATCTCCGTCAGTAGATGTTTTA